CGGAAGCGCCGGCCTCCGGACGGAGGGAAGGGGGAGCCGTCGATGGGCCCGTGGTAGCTCGTCCAGTCGAATGAGAATCGCTCTTCATGGACCTTTTAACCTCCCGCCCCCTTTTTTGGGAATAAAACTTGGAAAGAATGGAAATGCTGCAGGACACAGTCTGAGGCGGTGACTGTGGGCACAGGGTGAGGAGCTCTGTGGTCTCCGTGCGTCCGTGCGCTGTGAACTGGCGCGCACGGCGTCGGAATGGACAGGATGAGCCTCTCGAGAAGGGAGAGAAGGGCTGTGCCCTGGAGGTGTTTGCCGCGTCCCCTGCCGTCCTGTAGGACCCGGGCCCAGGCCCCTGGCGGGAATGTCGGGGCCTGTCCAGTGGGTCAGATCACACTCCTCGGGGTCGCCAGCCGTGGGGTTTGATGGCTCTTCCTCCTGGACTCGACGTTGTGCGTGCACACACACATACATACACATACGTGTGCACAAGGATCACACATCCATATATACATGTGCGCACGCACATCTATATATACACATACGTGTGCACAAGGATCACACGTACGGCACGACAGGCCGATGGCAGTGAAAACCCGGTGCCCCCTCCCTCAGCACCAACAGCCAGTGCTTCAAGCCCCCTGTGTCCCTATTAGGCTGCATTCTCTCCTCCCCTCCGCCAGAGAGAGGAGAGGGGCTCCCGCGGTTACCCCTCCTCTTAGCTACGGCTCCTGCAGCCTGCTTTTCTGTCCCTCGACCCCAGGTGGGCACAGCCTCAGGCCGGCCCGGTGACCCATCTGCAGGGATGGGCTGGAATGTGAACCCGGGCCAGGACAGCTACGGCTCCTGCAGCCTGCTTTTCTGTCCCTCGACCCCAGGTGGGCACAGCCTCAGGCCGGCCCGGTGACCCATCTGCAGGGATGGGCTGGAATGTGTGTGTGAGGATCCCGCAGGCAGGTGGCAGGTGCAGGGGTGGAGGCCGCAGCGGAAAGGGGGGACCAGCCCTGCAACAGGGCGCCCCCTGCCGAGCTCACCCCCCTCCCAGAGTTCTCCCACCGAGTTATCAGAGTTGCTGCCGCTGGGACGGCAGGTCCACCTCCAGCTCCCCCCAGGGACTGGCCGGCCCTGCAGATCTGGGGTCCCCTCCCACGCCCACTGGATGAGAGTAAGCATGGCGTGGAGCCCAGCCGTCCGGGCTAACAGGCCCTGACATTGGAGATGTGGTTTGCTGCGTGTTAGAGTCACCCAAGGGCTTTATTCATTTTAAATATGTTTTGGGAGAGAGGAAGGGAGAGGGAGATAGAAGCATCTACTGGGGATCGAGCCCGCAACCCGGGCCTGTGCCCTGACCAGGAAGTGAACCATGACCTCCTGGTTCATAGGTCGACGCTCAACCACGGAGCCACACGTCCAGGCGAGAGCGTTTACCTCTGCCCTCAGGCTGTGCTCCCCAACAGTTCAGTCAGCCTCTGGGGTGGTGCCCTGGCAGCAGCATCCCTTCAGGCCTCCCCGGGTGACCTGCGGGCGGGCAGGCAGGGACAGGACGCAGCCCTGAGCCACAGCGGAGCCCTCCCAGCCGACCCTCAGGCACTCAGAGGAGCCGCGGCTCCTGCAGTTTCCTGTGGGGCTCACTCAGGCCCTTTGGCCTTTCCTGCCCTGGCCGGTTTGCTCAGTGGATAGAGTGCTGGGGTCCAACACCAGCAGGTCCAGGGGTCCCCAAAGGTGTGGACGGAGTCGGCGAAGAAGGAATGACATGGAGACAGCGTTCAGTTGATCAGCAGCCTAGCCAGGAACTCCAGCCAAGTTCTGGTCAGGATCTCCAGCCAGGTTCTGTGTCCATGTTCCCTCGCTAGGTTCTCCAGCCAGGTTCAGTCACCAGGTTCTAGTCAGGTTCTCTTGCCATGTTCTAGCCAGGTTCTGTAGCCAGGTTCTGTCTCTAGGTTCTGTGTCCTGTTGTCTTGTTACATCTGTATTTATACCAGTTGATTCTAATCCTATCAATCTCTATTCCAAAGGTTAGGGCGTTTCTTATCTCCATTCCAGGGAGTAAAGATTATGTAGCTTAAGCATGATCGTTCGTAGTTAAAGTGATTAATTACCCGCCTGGCACTTAGTTAAGAGGTTTTATTCCCTCCCTAACTTCAGGGGAAAATCCCTACCTGGGGAAACAACCTTTCTCGGAGAGGTGACCTTGGTTAAAACACATAGTGCCAAGGAGGGGAGCAAACATATTAAGAACAGTATGCGATATATGCCAGGTCCCTTGAAACAGCAAGGATGGACCGGCTCCCGGCAATAGAGCCTCGGCCTGTGGACTGACGGTCCCGGGTTTGATTCCGGTCCAGGGCACATGCCTCAGTTACAGGCTTGATCCCAGCCCTAATTGGGGACTGTGCGGGAGGGCCCAGTGGGCGTGTCTCTCTCACATCGATGTTTTTCTCTCTCCCACTCTCTAAATATCAATGGGAAAATATCCTTAGGTGAGAACTAACAACAAAAAGAGGCATTTTCTGCCCCCCCCTCTAAAGTAGAAGGCGCCCCCCCATCCTAGCCAGGTAGCCCCGTCGTTAGGGGCATTGCCCCCATAGGCCGAGGTTTCAGGCTCGATCCCCGGTCAGGGCACATATAAGAACCAATGGATGCATCAATAAGTGAAACAACAAATTAATGTTTCTCTCTCAAATCAATAAAGGAAATTTAAAAAAAAATAGAATCCCCCCCAAAAAACATATAATCCAGGAGTTCGGGGCCACGGTCTCTCTCGCCTGGCCCGCTCCTGGCTTGGAGTGAATCTTCAATAAACCCCACTTGGCTTGGATTTCATTCCCATTGGCCTTAAAAATCTATTCTAAGTGACCAGAACAACCCAGGTCCCAGCCAGTAACCCCAGCCGGCAGCACAGGACCAACCCCGGGTCTGTCCCCGAGGGCCCCGCTTCTCTGACGTCTTACCCACAGCAGCCCGGCCTGGCTCAGTCCCCACCGAACCCCACTCCTGGGACCCTGCCCCGCCTGGGCTCACTGTCCCCAGCTTTAACGAACCTCCTCCAAGAAAAAAGTAGGCCCCCCAACTCTTCGTTTCCTATTTATTTCCTCAAGAATGTTGATCCGATTCTGAAATCACCTTGTTCGTTTTCTGCCTTCCTCTCTAAGTAAGTTCCACGACATCAGAAATCACATTATCTTGCTGGCCGCACCGCTGGAGGACTTGTGGTAGAGTCGATTCTGAAGTAATTGTTGAATGAATGACTAGGAACCGACAGACACAGGACAATTCAAGGCTGAGCGCTTCCTGGGATTCCAGAACCTTCTGTCTTTCCCACCGGGCATTGGAGAGAGTTCTCCGGCTCACCGCCACCGAGCGGATCACAGGCCACCGAGAAGACACATACCCTCTCCAACCAGGTGACCTCACATATTGTTGCGTTTTCAGAAACAAAACAAAAACACGGAAAACACCCAGAATGAGTTGAGCACATCACAGACGGGAGGCAGCTGTGGGGTGGGAATTTGCTAGCAAACGATTTCCGATCCTGAGGGGCTTGGCTCCGGCAGCTTAGAGTGCAAGAGTCAATGCCGTCCGTCACTCTAACTTCAGAGGGAGCTGTGGGCCTGAGGACATAGTGCCCACCTGGTCTTCCCTCTGACCCCATGGGAAACTGGGCGTGACTTCGCCTTCCACGGGGCGGGGTGAGCCGTGGGTGGGCCCTGGCCGGATCAATGAAAGGGGTGGATTCAGAGCCGTCTCCCAAGCAGCCCCATCTGGATTTTATTTGATCCTTACTTTCCTAGGATCCTTATTTCCTGAAAGGCGCTATATGGCTGTTTACAAATGACAAGTGAGAGTAAAATCTGTGGGAAACTGGGCGTGACTTCGCCTTCCACGGGGCCGGGTGGGCCGTGGGTGGGCCCTGGCCAGATCAATGAAAGGGATGGATTTTATTTGATCCTTACTTTCCTAGGATACTTATTTCCCGAAAAGCGTTATATGGCCGTTTACAAATGACAAGTGAAAGCGAAATCTGTTTAATTTTTTAAAATATATTTTTACTGATTTCAGAGAGGAAGGGAGAAGGAGAGAGAGAGAGAAATATCAATGATGAGAGAGCATCATGGATCGGCTGCCTCCTGCATGCCCCCCACTGGAGATCTAGCCCACAACCCAGGCATGTGCCCTTGGCTGGAATCGAACCTGGGACCCTTCAGTCCGTAGGCCGACGCTCTACCCACTGAGCCAAACCAGTGAGGACCTCCCTCCCATTTTCCTTCTCCA